AAAACGAAAAGAATTAAGAGGATGACTGGGATCATCGGGAGGAATAATCCGAGGGTTGTTCTTTCTAACTTGAGAGAAATTTGGGAAGAAAAATCCAATGAAAGTGGTGGGGACGAAATAGAAATTGAACAAAGTTTCATGGGCATAGCTTACTATTACAAAAAAAATCATAATGTTGGTACAAAAAAACTTGAGCTGTGGAAGAGAGAATCCGGGAACCGTAGTCGAAGGTCCCACAACGACAACTACCGTAACCTAGAATTGTTTTATTTTCTGGGTTTTTCTTTCTCGATTTCTATACCTTTTCATTAATTTGTTTTCAATTTCCGGACTTTTTGAGGAAAAATATCATAAACATCGACGAAAATCAGTAATAAGAATTGTTCATGAGCTAGGGGAACTCAGGTTGAGCGAAATAGTTTCGCAGGTTTCAACCAAGTTTGTCTATCGTTTTTTTAACGGTTTCTTTTTTTTTTTAAATTTTATAAACCGCTTCTTAAAGTTCCTGTTCTGATCTCAACATCCTATCCGTGTTCAGCGTACCAATGTCAGCCCCAGGTCATAAAATGACTGCATCAAACGAAATTTGGGTGAAATAAAAGCAGATTGGAGTCTTGATTAGAATGTACTTTAGAATTAAAACAATTCAACGTTTTATAGTCTTGTAAAAATGGAATAAAATTAGATGAGAATTGTAGATTTGCTTCAGGTCGACTTTTGAACATCTTTGGAAGTGTCTATAGACAGGCATGATCAGGGGGCTTTGATTTTGAATTTTTTATTTGAGAATATGTTTTTCTCTTTCAATTATCAAATCACTTTCGAAACTTTAATCTTTTGAATTAAATTTAAAGGGGGACTCCGAACAAAAATTTTTATTGCATTAAGATGTGTTAAAAGTTATCTATTTTCCGAATATTATGGCGAAAAAATTCAAAAAAAATCCGAAATTCCCAAAAAACGCCGTTGAAAAGGAAGAAAATTCAAAAAAAGGTGCCGCCGGGGGACGAGGATTTTCAGTGAGAAACCTAGGCCACGGCAGCGGGCGCCTTTCCTATGTGGCAAATTTTCCGGATTTTTTTCAATTTCATGTCCGGCAGGTGAAAAACGTAAAAAACCACTGTCGGCGACTTGAAAAAAAGGCTGTCAGGTGTTGTGGCCTAGGTTTCTCACTGAAAATCCTCGCCCCCCGGCGGCACCTTTTTTTTGAATTTTCTTCCTTTTCAACGCCGTTTTTCGGGGATTTCGGATTTTCTTTGGATTTTTCGCAATAATATTTGAAAAATAGATAAATTTTAACACATTTTAATGCAATAAAAATTTCTGGTCGGAGTCCCCCCTTTAAATTTAAAAAGTCGCTAAAAATCGCGGCAACGACACTCCGCTTCTTACGCCTCGCGCGTTGTTTACCGTAAATGCTATCGAACGTCAGAATATTGTTTCCATTCTTTTATTCCTGTATTTCTCTGTCAATTAGCTGGAAAACCAATTTTTCTTCTAAAAAAATTCAAAAAAAAATCTCTGATAGTTCAGTTTACAAACTATAATTGTTCCAGGATGATTAAAGCCTATTTGCCAGTGTTGCTTCTTGCAACATTCGCCACGTGTCAAAAGAAGACAGCCGCTTTGGTATCGGCGGAAGGAGAAGCACCGTCAATTAAAATGATCAAAACACAAGGTTGGAAGATTATTTTTCGGTGATTGAAAGTTATGAGGAATTTTTTTTGCAGGGTCTATACTCACAGCAATAGATATCTCAAAGGCGGATTTGGATTGGGATCAAATCTCAGCTCAACAGGAAGAGAATAAAAAAGCCAAAGAGCTCCCAACTGTGACTGGTGATGAATATACTCCGGAAAAAATGGACGTGCCTCCCAGGTAACCGTGTTTCATCAATCATAAGCCTAAAGATGACAGCTCACTTTCAGTGCCGAAGCAGAAGCAGAATTCCAGCGCGGAATGTCATACATAGAAAAAGGAAAGGGGCATGGAAGAGAAGGAAGGGTTGCTGCTCATAAACTGTTCGAAAAAGCTGCTTCGATGGGTCACCAAGAAGCCAAAAAAGCAGTTGCTTTCGCTCAGATGTTTGGAGACTACTCTAGATGGAGTATTCCTGAAGCAAAGGCAACATTTGAAGAATTAGAGAAAAATGGATCACCTGATGCTCAACTTGCTCTAGGATTCATGCACGGAGCGGGTATTGGAGTGGAAAACTCAAATCAAGCGAAAGCTCTTGTCTATTACATGTTTTCTGCTCTCGGTGGAAATCCATTGGCTCAAATGGCAATGGTAAGTAAAATTTTAGCTCTAATATAAAATTATTAAAATCACATTGCAGGGATTCCGCTATAGTCTTGGAGTCGGTGTGCCACAAAACTGCGAAACTGCACTTTCCTACTATCAGAAAGTAGCCAAATTAGTAGTAGACAATATGAAGCTTACAACAGGACAAGCTATTCAAAGGGTACGACTCACTGATGAAACCGATCCTACTATCCACATGCAACCTGGAACTGCTCCGTTGGAAAGCAATCTTCTTGAATATTATAAAATGCTAGCAGACAAAGGAGACACATCTGCACAACTAGGTCTCGGACAAATCTATTTGGCTGGAGGTCGTGGTCTCAATCAGAACTTTGAGCTAGCTGTTAGATACTTAACTTCTGCCGCTGAATCTGGCAGCTCTGATGCTCTGACTTATCTTGGAAAAATGTATCTAGATGGAACTGCATTCACACCGAAAGATTATCAGAGAGCATTCGAATATCTCACCAAGTCGGCAGATAAATCGAGCCCAAGTGCTCAAGCAGTATTGGGAGCAATGTACATGACAGGAAAGGGAGTCAAGAAGAACTACGAAAAGGCGTTGAAGTTGCTCACACTCTCGGCTGACAAGAAGAATGCTGATGGACAGATGTACCTGGCTGATTTAAATTACAGTAAGTTTTATAACAATTTATTCTGATTTGCACGGTCCCAGTTTCAGAAGGAGTCCCGACAACTAAAGGAGTGCACAGAGACTTCAAGAAAGCTGTCAAACTGTATCAACTTGCTTCTCAAAACGGACATATTCTTGCGTATTACAACTTGGCTCAAATGCATGCTGCTGGAACTGGCGTTCCTCGATCTTGCGCACACGCTGTCGATCTCTATAAATCGGTTGCGGAAAGAGGACGTTGGGGAGAGCGGTTGATGGAAGCTCATAGTGCTTACAAAGATAATCGCCAAGATGAAGCAGCGATGAAGTATTTGTTCATGGCTGAGTTGGGATATGAAGTTGCGCAAACCAACCTTGCATTCATTTTGGATCGTGAAGAGGCGACGTCGTTGTTTTCTGGACCCAAGGATAATAATCTTGAGAGAGCATTCCTCAATTGGCAAAGATCTGCTAATCAAGGTGTTAATTGTTGATTTCCGATAGTAGCACAATTTCAAGCTTTACAGAATATGCTGCTGCTCGTGTGAAGCTCGGAGATTATTACTACTACGGTCTTGGTACAGAAGTTGACCACAGCTTAGCATTCTCCAACTACAAAACTGCTGTTGATCGGCACGGAGTTGCACAAGCAATGTTCAATCTTGGTTATATGCATGAAGTCGGAGAGGGAATCACTCGCGATCTGTACTTAGCCAAACGATTCTACGACCAGGCAATTGAGCATAGTCAAGATGCATATATGCCGGCAAAACTGGCACTGACAAAACTGGCAATTGTATTTTATTTGGAAGAGCTCAACAAGCTTCCATTGGTCAGTTTTCTGGAGAAGACAGTTGGACCACGATGGGATTCTTTGCTGATGGCAATGTGCGCAATTATTCCATTATTCATCTTTTGGAGGCACCGACAAAATAATAATTGATAGTCAATGTACATAATCGCATGCCAAAATTTTTTTTATTTGTAATTTATTTCATTTTTTCTCTGTCAATCTACACATTCCCTACTTTTTGTCTAGGTGTAATTTTTTTTAATTGTTCACATCCGCCTTCTACTCGGGTTTCCCTTGTCGCCTTCTAATCATCCTCAATGTTTGCCTTATTTATTCGTGATATTTTTTATGATAGTTGGTTCAATTAGAAGCTTTCTTTCTTTTGTTTCGTGTGATTTTTTGACTTGCAATCGACTTTTTTCTCTCGAAAATCTCCCTGCTGATTTTTCGCTGGTTCTTCTCTGTTTTTTACGACCAAAAAATTGTTAAAATTATCACTTTTCATTGATTGTTCTTTATCTATCTCGGCTCACATAGAATCCGATCGTTTCTTATCTTTTACAAAACTTGAATTGACACAAATCTAAAAAAAATCCTCAGATGGCTTCGCTATTGCCATTGATCCAGACCCGTGGAAACACGGTAAATTTCTTCATGCGAAGATCTGGACCTGAACTGTGGAAAACGCTAACGTCGGTCTCAAAATCTGGACAGAAGAAAGGACGTCGTAATACAAGACAGCCAGTTCGACCACTCAGCAGATTTTATCGAATTGGATCCAGTTAGAAATAAGCCAGCGCAAAAATAGTAATTTTCAAAATTCAGGTCCCATGAAAGTCGAATTCGCCGGGTTGAATGCTCCAATGCGGCTAAATGACGAGAGTTTGATGACAATCGCAGAGCAGACAGAAGACGAGATCAGAGACTTGATGGGTGGAACAAAAAAGATTCTGGAAGAGAGAGACACGTATGCTGTCACAGAGCGTTAGAAAATTCCAGCAATCGTTTGTTTTCAGAGGAAAAAAGAAGCGTAATCGCGAGAAACTGCATCCAATGGAGCGTGGATTCTCTGGAACCCAACTTGTCGGTCAGAAGCTCGGTGCTCCGCCTCCAGTGGATGGTGTCAACTTTGATGATTTTGAAACATATTGTCTTGAAGTGAAACGCACTTCCAACATGACCAATGTTTTCGGAAGAGTTCACACAATGTCAGCTCTTGTTGTGACTGGAAATGGCCGTGGACTCGCCGGCTACGCTGTAGGAAAAGCTCCGATTCACCGAACCACAACTGCCATCATCAATGGAATAGGAATGGCGTCTAGGAAGATCTTCCACGTGGAACTTCATGAAGGACGTACCATCTACCAGGACTTCTATGCTGAGTGCCGTAACACTCGTGTGTTTGCTCAACGTCGTCCGCGTGGATTCGGATTAACTTGCCATCCCCGTTTGATCAAGATTTGTGAGGCCATTGGAATCAAGGATATCTATGTGAAGGTTGAGGGGTCCACGAAAAATTATTTGGCGCTGACTCATGCTTTCGTCACCGGACTTCTCAATCAAGAGACTCATCAACAGTTGGCTGAGAGGAAAGGTAAACATCCTGTAGGTCAGAAGTAATTTGATAGGTGATCTAGATCCTTGTCTTCTTTGAAATGAAGGATTTTGGTCGGGAGATTCCTCCGATTTTCTCCGAATCTTAATGATTTCTGTGTTTTTGAAATCATCGAAACACATAATTCATTTTGACTCAATGTCCCCCAGATTCCAAGAATTTCCATGTCCTGCTCGGCTTAATCCCTCCAATTCACCTCTTTTTCCCCTGCTCTATTATGACTTCGTTCTTCATACTTTATAGGTCTTCCGCCAGTTCATTTTATCTTCTTCTAGCTTCCTCTTCTCCCCTCCTATTTAGAAATTCGAAATTTGCAGGTCTTCATGTCGTTGAAATGTCCCCGTCCCGTCATTTCTTGCCTCAGATTGTTGCGTCACCAATTTCAACCGAACTGAAAACCGAGGAGACTTTGGAGGCACTTGATGTATGTTATCTACCCAAAATTAAATTATGTACATCCTGAATATTTTCAGCGGCTGAATCTTGATGATTTCTATGGTGAAGGACGTTACCCGTTAAGAAAACCAAAAGCCCTTCCATTCTTTTCCAATCTTGAGGGCCATTTGGACGCCAGGTGGAGGAAACATCCATTCCGTAACCAGGAATCGGTATGTATGACGAATGAGTTGGTTGATTCGAAATGACATAATTGCAGACAATGATTCGTCTGATCGCCGATAACATGGTTCCTCGATGGACGCGTGATGCTCGTGCGGCGTGGGCGGAACAAAGAAACGAACGGATGACGACGGGTGTTGAGCCAATGCCACTCGGTATCGGACTCTCGCATGTGGTCCCAAAAAAGGATGACTAGATTTGATTTGATTTTCTTTTTTCGTTTACTCCATTTCAGTAGCTGTCGTAGGATTCTTTAATTTTTTTCCAGGTTTTTTTGTTCTTGTTGGTTTCTTTTCTTTTGAACGATTCATTTTTCTGCATTCAATCGAGCTGATAAATATGCATAGCTACAAAATACTTTATAAATTTAACCTTTCGTTTCATACAGACAGCTGAAAAATGAAATCATGCCATTTTCAGCACACCTGAAATTTTTACAAAATTCTAGAAACGCTTTTCATGTCTTTCGCTGTACTTGTGTCATTTGCAGATGTACTCTAGCTATGAGTGCGCATTAATATTTCAATAACACAGTAGTTCGTTTATTTTAATTGGTTTCCAAAGAAAGAAACGGAAAAAAAACAAAAGAGTGAAGAGAAACATCTGGAAAAGAGAGAGCGGGATTGTTAAAAAATATAGGACATGAACAAAAAAGGACGACAGATAGAGTGATATGCTGACAGCTAAGAAGTCACGAAGCTAATTCTGAATTTGGCCACGTGAAATGGAGAAGAAGGGAAAGAAATCTAGGTGGAATTTTGGGTCGGGGGAAAATGGAAAGTTTACGGTAGAAGAGGTAGTGGTGGAAATTTTTCAAAAGTGTATCAGATTCTCAGCGAAGTTTGGACATGTAACTTCCGAGGAAGATTTTCTGAAGATTCTTCATTCCACCACGCTTTCCACCTCCATTGACGAACGATTTCTTGGACACTGAAAAAGGAAAGAATTTGAAGTTCGGCACCGAGTGTATTTTCAAGATTGGGCGCGTCGCGTGTCGGCGAAGCGGTCGTTAGCTGAATAGTGTTTTTAACAACCCTATTTACGACCGTCAAAAGAAACTGGTCAGAAAGCGCGCCCCAGCAAATCTCGAAAAAATCCGCTGCCAAACTTTGTTGGCTGAGTATCAAACGTACAACAATCAGCGAAAAAGTTTTTTTTTTCAAAAATTCAAAACTGGCGCGCAGCCAAATTTTTCGACAAGAAAATGCGACGAAGCGCTCTTTCTTTATGTGCCCGTTTGCGATGTCGTGCCGGAGCAAAACACATTCTGATTTCATATCTTTTCCCTACCATGGAAAAGATTCTTTAGAACTAGATTCTTATTGAACAAAAAACATAAGAATTAGTCTTTAATCCATTCATTAATAATACAGCGATGCAATTGTTTTTCATCGTTTCTTCCTCGTTTTTGTTTTATTCTTATTAATGATTCTGGTGGGAGGTGGTGATCATTGAAACATCATGTCACAAGAAGAAGAATGGAAATTTTCAAAAAAAGAGCTCCAATTTGTTTTTCTAGTTTTGTAACGAAATCAATGAGCAATGGAATCTATATTAGCGCCTAACTGATTTTCATAATTTATTCGTCGTCTTCGTAGTTAGTCATAAAATAGAAAAACAAGGGTATTCCTAGGAAATCGCAAAGAATTTCTAATGGGTTACGGTAGAGTGTACTTTTTCGGAAACTCTGCAGAGCTCTGGGAGAAGAACCAGCTACAGTAATATGTTCGTCATGAGACCATATGGGTTATAGCATTTTCGAAATGTTACACTATGGTCCAGCATTGCCCTTTTACAGTTTGAAAAAGCGGCACAACTCTACTATATGAATTACAAACTACAAAATTTGATCTATAAATCCATATCTGTCGAATCAAAATACAATCCGTATTAACTACGAAACTTGGCCTTTGCTGACAAAAAGTAATTCACCTGTCCCTAAAAATACTTTTTTTTCTTTTTCAGCTGAATTTCCATAGTCTTTGTAAATGGCCAACCCGTTTTTGATCCTCAAAACATACCTGGTCCAGCGACACAATCCAAACGGTAGAGAGCCATCAAGTACGCAACACAATCCCAATTTGCCCCACACTCGTTTAATGTCGAGCAGTCGACTGGAACTGAAAATTCTATATAAAATTTCGTATTTCTATTCATATAGATGGCACCAAAAGGATCAAACTAATCTCGTCTTCATTATCAATGGTTACATGTAATCCGAAAAAAAACATGGGGAAGAACAAAAGAAACGGATAATTAACGGATTTGTGACGGATCAGTTTTTAGAAACGTATGATCTGTGTCTGGGATTCTCTTTCTCCCTCTCACCACCCCCACCTATCATGGGGTGCAAATATGGCATTATTCAGGTGGGAGAGTATTGGATTACGGGAGGAGATCACACTTTGGGGGTTCTTAGGCCTCTAACTATGGTTCCTACATATTCAAAACTACAGTACCTTCTGGATCAACTGGCTCCCGAATAACGGCTCCAAGTGCCATGTGGAGGACAAGAATGCAAAGTGCGACCATCATTTTTGTGAGCATTTTTTGATTTTTTTGTAAAACTGTGAATTCAGCAAAGTGTGTTACCTGAAACACTATCCGTATAAAAAAGGTAATTCCCAAAGAAGGATAAAAAAGTAAAGTGAGAGAAGCTGAGCATAGCTAAAAAGGCGGGGCCGGGTGCTCTAAGAGCAGAAAATTTGGGGGGAGGGATTAATAGAGAGAAAAGGGGCGGGGCTTAGGTGGAATAAGCTGGAAGAGAACAGAAATAAGGATGGAAGAGAATAAGAAGCATGTGTTCCTTATGATCCATGACTCAAGATTAGGGTTAAAGATTATGAAATGGTTAGGGAGCCGTGGGTGTTTTCTGATAGGAACAATTCCTATTATTTCAGATTTTTATGAATGAAATGAATATATGGGTGAGCTGAAAAAATCATTATGCCTTTTGTTCAATTCCTAGAAATAACGTCATCTAGATCTTAGAAAAAATCTCATTCTTATTTATATACCTAAATTCAACCTGAAAATCAAGACTTTTCAGAAGGAGCCCGTGGTGCAAGCTGAGCGTAAAGTGTTTAGTCATTAGGCTGAAAATAAACTTCTCATTAGCTATTCTGAGCCTATAGAAGAAGTCTGAACTTGCGTCTCCCATACTCGAGAAACACCTGAATTTGAGTGGTGCGTGAGCAATGAGCAATTGACGCGCTTCTAGCAATTATGAGCATTTCAATTCAAAGACTGAAACAATGGATGTGTAGGCGGAGACGTTGAGATTTATGGTCAAGAAGGTTACGAAGTAGGAAGTGGTTTTTTGGTGGCGTTTAATTGTTAGGTTGAGATTTTCTTGTTTTGATCAGAAGTCGTAATTTAAAAGAAATTCGTCAGTTGAAGACAAAAAGTTCAAAGATAGAGTCTTCAAAGTATATGTTCATGGAGTACGGTAGTCTGAAGTCAGAATCTAGTTTGAACATGGCATTCAGAACTAGAAGCATAGAAAACTACATAAACTGGATTTCAAAATATCTGAAATTTTGTAGACACTAGAAAATAGATACAAGAATTTTACTATTCCAAAACTTCATTTACACCAGTGATGTTCGAAACGGAATTCGGGATTCCGAAAATTCCGACCTTTTTAGTAATCAAATTCGGATCGAGAAATTTCAGTATTTTTTCGGAATCGGTGATGTTTGGACTACTGTATTTCGAAACCTTTCTGTCAATTTTTCACCAAATTTCGGCGCTTTTGTGATGGGAAAATGGTATTTCTACTCGGATTCTGAAATTCCGAATCTTTCAAAATCTGAATTTCCCGAAATTCCGAAATTCCCGATCTTTCAAAATCGAAATTTTCTAAAATTCAGAAATTCTGAATTTTACGAAATCGAAATTTTCCGAAAATCGGCACTTCGAATATTTCAAAATCGGAATTTATCGAAATTCTGAAGTTTTATCTATGTCTTACACCCAATAACTGACGCCATCCAGACCCGCCCACTATTTTTCTAAGCTCCTCCAAACGCTTTCTTCTCGAATCTTCTTTTCCAACGAAGTATCTTGTTCTTCTTAAATTAGACCCATTGGATTTTATTGCATTTTTCTTACAAAGGAAATAGAAGCTCCAAAAATAGAGATGGAGAAGTTGGGCATTTGAATAGAGAATGTACTGATGGGTTTTCGAGAATCAGAAGAACTTCCGGAAACGGAAAAAAAATCAAAAATTAAAAGTTCTCAATAATAAAAACATGATTTCGTCAGAATGCTTAAATAAGGGAACCACTATACTCGGCGATGGGCGGAAAATCCAACTGTTTATCGAGCAGATAACGTAGTAGAGTGATCAGACTGCTTAAACGACGACGGAACTCAAAATCAAAACACCTCGAGGTGTAATTTTTCAAGAGGATTCGTGCAATGTACCGCGCAGACGACGGTCATTAATTCATGAACACTACTTACCTGATCAAAGTGGGTCACCCTCAAATCTATTAAAAATAAAATTATTTAAAGGTACATAGGCATGAGTAAACAAAGATGCCCACTGCTTCTCCTTTTATATGTCAGATATTTTTGAAATTTACGTGACAACTGCGTGCATGACAAAACAGCTTATCCTCCCGGAATGCCTAATTGATGACGAATATCAAATGACAATGGAGTAACAAAAAAGATGCTACGTGACAATTTTGGTTAGTAACCTACTTTTCTGGGCTTTGAAAAATGACGTTAGTTCGAAAGAATACGTTCTCCTTCTAGGATTGGAATTCGTGCAAGTAAGTGCGAGTAGTATAGTGGATCATCGCGTGTGCTCTCACATAAAATACACTTTTTGATCTTTTCTGTCTAGTCAAGAAGAAGAAATTAAAACCAATCGAGTGCAACCAGCTCACAAACAAGATGATGTTGGACAAAATATTTGAGGAGGAAGATGAATTTCAAAGACCGTATAATTTGTTCTCTTGAGTTTTTTTTTGTCATGGGATGACTAAATCTCCCTTTAGAGATCATAAACATCTCATCATCGGTTTCTTATTTGATAAACCCATAAAAATCCGTAGAAATTCAAAAATTGTATCTGCTTTTCAAGTCATAATCTGTGTTAAGAATATCCTGGTTTCTTTTATACGGACAGGTTTTGTACTGATTTGTACTGATCCGCAGGACGTGATAAATTTAAAAAAAAGGAATTCCTAATTTAGAAAGAAAGCAAAAAGGCTACAACTAATCATATCTCCTTGGACTTGTCCGATTTCAATTGTTACTAAAAAAGAAGATCCATCCAACCGGATTAGCCCTTGAATTGTCCTCCATACAATGGATAATGGAGTACCTGGAAATAAAATATATTTTTGGAATATTTTTGGGGATACCGTTGTCTTTTCTATAGAAGGGGTTTTTCGACACATCCGTCCTAAGGAGAAAAACTTGTCAATAAGAAATCGTTAGTCTTTGGACAAATTTAATTATTGTTTTCAATGATAAAAAATAGAAACTAACAGACTGTGGAACTAGTGATTTACTGGTTCGAGCTCTTTTTTCAATTTGTTTTTTAACATTTAGATCTGAAAGTTAATATTTGGGAATGCCAGACTTGAAAATTAGGATATTTTCAAAAAAGTGTTAGAAGGTATAATGCTATGGAAAAAAGTTGAGAGAGGGGTGAGGGATGTGCTATTTTTAAAAAAATGGACATTTTAAAACAACGAAGGTGAAATAAAAATTTTCTATAGAACTTTTAAACTTTTCGAGACTTCCAAAAACCTTATCAAAAACTTTGCCGGTGAAATAGGAAAATTGTGAAATTCTCAGATTACTGTGCCATAAATTGAAAACAAGTACCATAAAAACTCTAAAAGAATGCCCCAGACCGTCAACTATGAGGTTTAATACCACTTACTGTAAAAGATATCGAAGAGTGGTCAACTGAGAAAATGTTTATCATAATGTTGAAAACGTTTTGTCAGTTAATAACTTTTTTATATCTTTCACAGGAGCCAATATAAATTAACTCATATTTGAAAGGTTGGGGTTTCTTTTAGAGTGTTTACGGTAAGTTAACGCCTTATGTGATCATCGGGGTTCCAATAATATCTTATGCTTTTAGAATCAGAGTTCTATAAAATATTCCAAGAATTCGTTTTGAAGTCCTAGACAACTCTTTTGAAATCAGGAGGTTCGATTCAGAAACAACAGGTCACTCATCAGTTCTGACCTACAAAGTGAGGTGTGCTCCAGAAGATGACAGCATTTTGAATTTAAGAAGCGCAATATGATGATCTGTTCTCCTTTTTTCTTAAAAAATGACGGATGTCGGCTTGTAATTTTTAATAAAAGGTAGAGGGAGGGAGTCCGGCTTTTGGATCAGTATTCCTGGTTCTGATAGGAACTTGCCCAAGAACGGCTGTATAGCGGGCCTAGGTCAGGTTTTGGACGCAAGTTGAAAGCTAGGACACTACGAGGTCGGAACATTTGCCTTTATTAGCAATATTATCCGGAATCTGACCAACATCTAACCAGAAGTTGGCAGAGATGCAGTTTTTCTGAGATTGAAAACAAGGGAATCGATGGAGTAACAAACCCCTTCTGAGGTATCAGAAATAAAGGTTCAAAATAGTTTTGACAGGAGAAAATAGTTAAAAATGCATTAGATATTATAATTCAGAAGCCAAACTTATAAGTTATGCAAGCGATGCTCCCATCGTGCTCACTTCTGGTTCTTTTACTGAAACTTTTCAGTTATTTTTTCTGCAATTTGGGTTGCATTCAAAGTTTTTTTACGTATGTAATTTCGCATTCAATTGAAACAACTTTCAATTGCGTAGATCTTGGATCTTGTGCTAGATGACATGGGAGTAAACTACGGCATTCACAAAGATCTATGACATGATTCTGACTTTGTGTGAATGAAAGCATATGTTATGATGATTTTCCCTAGTTAGCGAACAATGGTTTTTTCTTCCAAGTTTCCCATTGATCGTCAAAAAAATGATGAAAAACAAAAAAGCTACTATATCGAAGATGAAGAATGTGAATCGAGAAGAAATGTACATATACATCATGTACACCAAAAAGAAAGACAAAAGAAAAGAGCGATCCAGGAAACTAGAATGCCGTAGTATGGCCATAAATCAAAACTGGATGCGATTTAGGAGCAATTGGGACTCCGGATGATGCTTGTTTTCCTCGACTAATATAGGACCATGACGCCATATTTCTTCATCGGGGGTTTTTTGGGATTCTGATAGTAATGAATATTTTCGAAGATGAATACGTTAAGAAGATAGGTGCTCGATGATATCAGTGATTACCTAGAAAGCAACAAGATTCTAGACTTTTCTCTGGGCGAGATATTTTCAAATCCTGAAGATATAGAGTGGGGTTAGTCCTACTGTGATTTGCATATTCTAGTACGCCTCGTTTACTGTAAAGGATGTCAAAATACATTTTAGGATACATCATCTCAAAAAAATTATCTCTAAAAGCAAATTTTGTAGGATTACAGTATATTAAGAAGATAAGAAGCGTCTCGTAGAATGGAATCAAAAGCAATACTAACAAAACAGAACAACAAATGAGAGAAGAAAAAAGAGAGAAACTGGTTTGAAAGGGGCAAACATTCAAGGTTAGCTTCTCTTATCAAATAGGTTCGAATGAGGAATGGATGTCTGAGGAATACGGTAGTGAATCATTCCTTTCCTTTTTGAGTGTTTATGGAATTTGGGATGAATAGGAAAGTTTGTAATTTTTGGTTGAAAACTATCAAGCTTTTAAATAATCGGAAGCGTTCGAAGCTCAAATTCTACAACAATTTTTAAATAGCCGAAATATAACCGATATTGAAGTGTCAGCCTAAACGGAAAATAATACAATCAAAAATCTCGAGACTCTAATAGAGTATCATCTAAACCGTTAACTTTTATCCGATTCACCTTGGTTCCTGTGAAAGATATCAAGAACCCGTCAACTGATAAAATTTTGGTGATATTATGATAAACATTTGTCCGTTGACCACTTTTGAGATCTTTCTCAGGAAATGAGATATATGGGCTCGACGGTTTGGGTGGCAATCTAGTAAAGTGTTTACGGTATTTACTTTTTTGCTAATTTTCTAAATCGACTGCATGTGTGACCCAAAAAACGTGCATTTCTTCCAATCTTTGTTCTTGTACGTCAGTAAACTTTCATTAGTTTTTTTTCTATCCGCCGTTTTTTAGATTTTGACCGTTTAACCCTTCTCATCTCTAGGATCAACAACCCCTTCAAATGACGCCACGAAAGCAAAACCATTTTTTTTGGGGAATTTATTTGCACTTTTTTGGCAGATGTTTATAAATCTTTCACACTTCCAGATAACCACTTGAATATTTCTAGAGTGGGCTCAAAAAGCGTATGCTTTGGTTTAGCGGCAAATTCATTTTTCTTAATCTGAGAGCATTTCAAAAAATGGAAAACAGAGAAAATTTTGTTACCGGTTGTTTTTGGGAAATGAATAATTTGGCCAAGAACTGACCGAAATTCGAGAATTGGAAAAATAAGGATCCGTTCCAAATTTCTTAGGGAAGAAAGGAAACTTCTTCCTTGTCTGTGCCCCACTATCAAGTTTCAGTACAAACAAGACTTATAAATTCAGGACTAATGTCTACGGTAGTCGAAAAGTTCTGGGAATTCAAAAATAGAAGAAAAACACTTCAAAAATTTCTCTAGCATAATTAAACAAGAAAATTAATCAAACAACTTTATGCAAAAACTGGCGTCCAGAAAGATTTTAAAATTCTTTCAGTGACCACTCTCTAGTCCAACGGACTCTACGGCTACATCTTCTGATGAATAACGTGTCAATGAATTATTGAATGAAAATGGAGACTTTTTGGCTGAAGATGGAAAGCACAAACTTTGGTTTTGGTCTCGTTTTGGAGAATAAATCTTCCCGTTTTAGTTTTAGTGGAGAGCAGAATCGTGGAATACATTTGAGTATACTAATGGGTTTCATAAGACTATGCAGTATAGGGATTTAGAAAAAGAGTACTTGAAAAGGGAATCGTTTGCAAAAAAAAAATAAAAATACTAGAAGATGGGGTTGGTCTTTAGAGAGCATACTCAAATATTGTGAGGATTTTCAAAGGTTATTAATAGTAATGAAGAAAGGGTTCAAACTTCTGGAATATTCTGGAAGTTTGCAGGGTGGCGCAAAATTACCCAGACTGATAAAAACTGGTATATCTTCAGGCATAGTTGTCTTGGAAGCACAAAAATTATTAGGTTGGCAGGAAAGTAACTGTCCCTTGTTTTATTTGTGAATAATACAAAAGCATGGTTAATCCAAGATTAGCAGTATGCACCGTCGTGGTCTACGACATGTTGGCAATGTTCAGATAACTTGTGGATACAATACCTTCAAAAGCCAGCTAGCCACGAATCAAAGTATTCATTTTTTCCTGTTTTTCACATAAATGATGCAAATTTTCGTATTCTCTAGATGAGGTTGTATCTCTCCGAATATCCAATAAACTGATAGAGCTCAGTCGGGACTATAAGTAGGTGAGGGAGAACGGTCCCACTGAAGCTGCTCACGTCTGACTTGACTGCAGGTAAAAAATGAAAAAACCTCATGGTGACGGAAAGTCACGCCGTACCCGAGGCGCTTTGGCTGGACGGTTCTCCTTTACCCCCGTTAAAGACTTGATTCAGCTCTATCAGATCATTAGTTATTCAAAAGTATACGACATCATCTGGAGCTTAAGGACTTTAACACAATTGGTGCCTGAAAAAATTTACTGTAGGGATACTTTGACTTGCCACCAGCTGGCTTTTGGAGGGATGGTACCCACAAGTTACCTGAACATTGCCAACATGTTGTGGATCACGACGGTGCATATTGCTAATTCTGGATTATTTTTGTCTTTGTGTTATTTACTAATAAAAAAATGGACAGTTACTTTCCTGCCAACCTAATACAGTAGTATAAATATAATTTTACGTTTGATTCAAAGTACTGAAAATTTCAAAACTATCCGCCAAGTCTAGGTATTATTATGATTGTCCAAAGATGAACGGCGTAATGTTTCTTGTGATTTTCATGAGATTAAGCAACTTTGACACGATAACTCTGCTCGAAGTTGATCGAATAACTTGAAACTTGGCTAGTTTACTGATAAATATAGTATTTGAGTTTTTGCTACACAAATTTGGATCCAGTACAACACTCCACTCAGATTTTATGCTAGTACAAACTTGAGTCTGAGTAATCATGGACCACCCTGTATTTGTTTCAATGATAACATTTTTTGACTTTGATGCAGATTTTTAGCATTACAGGTTTCTGAAAATACAGTATTGTTACTTACGGTTGTAAAACTAGGATATATTACTACCTTTTGTTTACACCAAGTAGACCGAAATTCAGTTTTAGTATATTGCAGACTCTGTGGGAACCGATACAAAAAATGAGAAGAAAGCAATGCGATCCAAAGATCTGAGTCACACAAAAACTTCCCTGAGAATTCAGAGTGGTATCGTAGTGTACAAACTGCAAATTTATATAAACAGAATCTACAAGGCGGAAGTTTCCTTTTTTCAGAAAGGGGTTAATGATAAGAATTACAAGGTTTAGATTACAAAGTTAACGATAACTAGCTCTCATGCAACATCATCGTTAATAATCCTCTTCCGTATATGACTTATCGAAAATGTCACAATTTTTTGTTTAATTTGGCACAACTAAAAAATAGAGCAAAGATGTTAAAAACGAAAGGAATTGAATGAGTACAGACCACCCATCATCATCATCACCCCTTTCGGCTCTTTTCTTGTTAGGGAATAGAAACGACACTTATTTGTTACGCTCAATGATCAAACGATGAACGGATGCTCTCATTCATCATTCCTTTTTGGTTACTCATTTGCTTGAAACCCAAAAAAAGGAGATGAACAACTCATGGAACATCAAAAAACGAACATGTTTTTATAGGGACGAAATGGAATTGGTGGAGGTGGAATTGAATTACGGTTGAGTGGGAGAAGAAAAACAAGAATGAATCCTTTTACGGAAGGATAGACGGGAGTTTCCCTAAATGCTGAATAAGAACAAAAGGTTGTGGAAAAGGTTAGCAATTCTCCGATTTCTAAAACGAAATTTGAAACAAAACTACTTTTCAATTTTGAGCCAAGTCTCTGTAGAAGATATCAAAAGTTTGTCAACTGACAAAATGTTTTGCAATTTTACGAAAAACATTTCATCCGTTAACAAAATTTCGATATCTTTTGAAGGAACTTAGATAATTGAGCTCGAAGTATGTAGGGTCGTTTACCATAGAGTATTTAAGGTTAACTCATTTGAAAACAGGAAAATAAATTTGTAATTTTCACTTGTAAACTAAAAACTATTCTGGGAATAAATATAATTTTGTGATTTTAGGTTGTTAAATAAAACGACACATCAAGGGTTTTAATTTGGTATTCCAGCTGTTCTGGTCATTGGCTATTTTTTGTTAGAACAGATTTAAAAATTGCAATGTGAAAAGCAAAAGAATATTGTAAACTCACATGGGAAACAAAGTGTGGGAAAGTTAGTTTGTTAAAATGATCCAAGAGAAAACGGAAGTAATCTGGATTTTAGGAAAGTGTATTTACAGCTTGTTCCTTGAAAACTGGTACAAGGCATATTGAGTTGAAGGAGATCAGAAAAATCTGTGCACTGAAAACAAGAAAACCTGGAATTTCTATAATTAACTTTTCATACTGTAGATCTGATTCTGGTGCAAGAAAATCATCAACAAGATCTTTAGTTTTTAATATTTTCATTGCAGTCAAGTCAAAATTGAGCAAATAATTAGAGAATGGATTGGCGATTTAAATAGACAGTTTTTGGGAAGTTATCCAGAAGTGAAGATTTTCAGTTCTTCTTGGTCTCCTCTTCCTCCTTCTTTGGCTCAAGCTCCTTCTCCTCGGCCTTTTCGCTCTTCTCCTCTACCTCGTCCTTCTTTGGCTCTTCCTCTTTCTTTTCCGCCTTCGATTCCTCTTCCTTCTTTTCCTCCTTGGATTCCTCCTTTGATCCCTCCTCCTTCTTCTCCTCCTCCTTCTTTTCCTCTTCCTTCTTTGGCTCTTCCTCTACCTTCTTCTCTTCCTCCTTCTTCTCCTCAACGATCTCCTTATGGTTGATTCGGAGGATGGTACAGTGCACGTTTTCCTTTTGAAGTTGGCAGAAGTCGTCGGTCTCGGCGGTGAATGGAGCTGGCTTCTCGTTACACACAACAATGTAATCTTGTCCGGCAACCTTCTCCTTGAGGGCCTTGATCGATTCGGCGACGGTTTCCTTGGTGTTCTGAAAGTATCCGGGTTACCAGAAATTTGGAATTTTGAAGGATCACCTCGTTGAGGATGATTCTGAGCTCCTCATTGTTGCATTTGTTGAGATCATCGTGGGCAATGACGTTGACGGCCTCTCTCTTCTTGCGTCCGCATCCTCCTCCGCATCCGCCACCTCCTCCTCCGCCTGAAAGATTCTTTTTCAGATTGTTACAAAGTGATTACTGTATCTTACATCCTCCACCTCCTCCTCCGCATCCACCGCCTCCTCCTCCGCATCCTCCACCTCCGCCTCCGCATCCTCCGCCTCCTCCTCCGCCTGAAAATTTTAGACCCTGAAGTTCAGTTTCAGATAGTC